TCACCTCCGGGGCAGGCGGGAATCGAACTCATGCGGAAGTGGCTTTAGATTCTCAGTGCAGTGCTTTAACCCGCTGCGCCACCAGGGAGGGCCTTCCCTTTACATTTTTAATAGTGTATTTTAAAGAGCAGTTTTAGGTTTACAGAAAATTTGATATAAAAGTAGTTTCCATATTCCATCTCCTTTCTCCCTCCAGTTTCTCCTATTGTTAACATCTTGAATTAGTATATTTGTTAGTCTATTAACCAGAATTGATACATTATTCTTAAAGTCTGGTTTACATAAAGGCTTATCCTTCTGTTATAGATTCTAGAGGTTTTGACAAATGTATCACTGTGTATTCACCATTAGAGTATCATACTGAATAGTTTCACTACCCTAAGATATATACCTGTGCTCTATTTATGGGTCCCTCTGTTTCTCTCTCTGAACCCTTAGAAACCTCTGATGTTATTTCCATAGTTTTGCCTTTTCCAGAATGTCATGTACTTGACTCATATAGGATATAACCTTTTCACATTGGTCCCTTTCATTTAGCAGTAGGAAACTAAGGTTTTTCCATGACTTGGTAGGCTATTGCTTTTTATCACTGATTAATGTTCCATGGTATACATAGACTTGTTAGTTAATTTACTCATTTATTGGATACTTTCTGTATTTGGCAATTAAGAATAAAGTTTTAAATATCCCTCGGCAGGCTTTTATATGGACATAAATTTTCAATGCACTGGTGTATATTTAACCTTATAAGAGAGTATCTTCCAAAGTAGCTGTACCACTTGGCATTCCTACCAGTAATGAATGCAAATTCCTGTTGCCCCACATTTAATGCTGTCAGTGTTGTAGATTAAGCCATTTTTTAAAAAAGGATTTATTTATGCATACAGAGCTGGGGTATAGGCTGGAGGTGCAGGGATGGTTAGAGGATTCACCAGAAACAGAGTAGGGAGCAGAATAGGTTGATTGATGAAGTACACTGCTGAGGGGAGCAACAGGCAGGTCAGGAGAGGTCTGCCATGCCATGTGGGTCGCCTCTGGAGACGGTAATTGAACTCATGCTGAAGTGGCTTTAGCTTTTTAGTGCTGCGCCACCAGAGAGGGCCCACTAGAATGTTTCAGTTGGTCAGTTGTATCAGTGATCTTGCAGTTGAACAATAAAAAAACAACAATGTGAGGTTCCTTTTCTGAATATTGGGCACATAACAAGCACTATTTCAAATTGATTTGGGTAGGCTTTTTAACTATTGAGAAATTCCTTAGATTGATGTTCTAAATTTGGGCTTAAAGAAATCTCTGAACCTTCTGGCATTAGAAGCAAAATGTTATATGTAGGACATATATAAGTGTAATTTTCTTTTTTTTTTTTTAAGACTTATTCATTTGTGCATATAGAACTGGGGTAAAGGCCAGAGGCTCAGGGGCGGCAAGAGGCTTCACCATAGACAAAAGTGGGGAGCAGAACAGGAAGATTGACGAAGTACACTGCTGAGGGGAGCAGTGGGCAGGTCAGGAGAGGTCTGCCACACCATGTGGTCACCTCTGGGGCAGGCGGGAATCAAACTCATACAGAAGTGGCTTTAGCTTCTTAGTGCTGTGCTTTTACCCGCTGCGCCACCACGGAGGGCCATGTAAGTGTAATTTTCTATGTAAAGAAATGTTAATAGTTTTTATCAGATTTTCAAGCAATCCCTGATCCAAAACAGACTAAGAACCTTTGCATTATTGATGATCATATAGATCTGAAAGTCTGATCATCTAACACAGCAGTAATCTGATTGTCTTTTCTTATTAATTGCTGGTTAGAGTTTGCTCCGAGGTGGATGATTTCAACTTACTTGAAGCAGATTTTAGTGTTTGTAATCATCATACTTTTTACAACTTTCCAGCAATCATATGCCATTTAGTTTCTCCCAACCATTGGAATTAAAAAAAAAAAAAAGACTTTTGATTGCTTCAAAAGTCTTATCAAAATTTATTAGCAGTTGAACCTCTTTGATAAAGAGGTTTATCAAACCATGTCATGGTAAGCTACTATTTGACTTTTAAAACTTATGAAATAAGCTGACACCCAAAAAATTATATGATTAGCTTTGATTCTGTTTTTGTTTTCAGAACTCTTCATCTTGGCTTATACCTATCCTGTCTGATATGCTGCGACACATTTTTCAATTTTGTGTTTTAGAAAGCAGTCAGGAAATTCTGGACCTCATTCACAAGGTACACAGTGAATCTGTTTGTACTCCGTTTCCTAGTAACTTACTGCCAAAAAGTTTTAAAACGTGTAATTTGAGTCTGTTGGTCATGGTTTTAAGGAATTAAGAATCAAGCAAGAGATTTGAAAAGTCTGGAGATCTGCAAGATGAGACAAAGAAATTGGTTTCTTATGGAACGTAATCATTAAATCCTAGTTGGATTTCTTTATCCTTTCTGTTACTATGTCACCTAACTAGGAAGTGTTTTAAGTACTTCTTATAGCTTTGATACAGAAAATGAAATGAAGGTAAGAGTTCTTTCCACCAAAATCATTTTGTTACCTATCAGCTTGCATATTGATCCAGCAAAATATTGTTTGGAACTTATTGCTAATATATAGTCACAGTTTAGACTTGCATTTCCCCCCTTTATTTAGCAAGATCAGTTAAATGTGTTGGAATCTCTCTCTGTCTTTTTAAAATATTTTAAAAGGACAGATTTATTAAGGAAAGGAGGAAGAAAAAGAGAGGCGGCAGGAGAGTATATGTTGAAATCTTTCAGGAAGAATCATTATATATATTTAATAATAATACGTGGGAAATGGCAGTATTGTTGTACCTTTGGAACTTGTCACATTAGACCAGAATTATTATTCATTTAGGCTTACAGAACTGGGGTACAGGCCAGAGATGTGGTACGTGAGAGGATTCACCAGAAACAGAGTGGGGAACAGAACAGGCAGATTGACAAAGTACACTGCAGAGGGGAGCAGCAGGCAGGTCAGGAGAGGTCTGCATGCCATGTGGGTCAGTTTCCTGGCAGGGGATGGAACTCTACTGCAGTGACTTCTGAGAGCTTCATAGTGCGTTACTTTAACCCATTATGCCACCAGGGAGAGCACGGCTGATTCTTTTTTAACATTGGATAACAGGTGCTTTATTTCTCCATACTTTTCTTAGGCTATTTAATGATAGGCATTAAGAAAGATACTTTACAGATAAGATCATAAATCAAGGCTTATATTGTTCTTAATTTATACTAGAATATTACCTCCTTTATATTTAGCAGAGGACGCTTATTCAGGAGTGTTTTTTTACTTTTTTTTACAGGAGTGTTTTTTTAAGGATTTATTTTTATGTATACAAGAACTGGGGTGCAGGCCAAAGGTGTGGGGGTGGGTGAGAGGATTCACCAGAGACAGTGGGGAGCAGAACAGATGGATCTACTGAAATACAGTGCTGAGGGGAGCAGCGGACCAGATAGGATAGGTCTGCTGTGACATGTGCATCAGCTCCCTGACCAGGGATCAAACTCAGGCTGCAGAGGCTGGTGATAGCTTGATGGTAGAGACTTTAACCCTGCACACTAGGGACAATTATATCTTCAAGTACATATATTGAATATAGGACTTATTTAATGTCGAACTGCTATGTACAAAGGATTTCAGTGGCTTATTGAGATTTTGACAAGTCTATTTTTTACAGGTACCTTATTTTAAATGATTTTCATAAAATACTGAAGAAAATTCTTTTATCTCTTTTTTAAACTTTGCTTTATATTTATTTTTTATTATAGAAATCTACCCCAAAAAGCAGTATTTAAAAATAAGCCTCTATATTGACTTGTAAAATCATCTCTGTGCTATTTCCTACTGATTTTTGTCAATTCAGTATTCCAAAAATAAATATGAGGTCCTTATTTCCTTTCATGTTCCCCTTTTACTCTGTAGGTTTGGATGGAATTATTAAACAAGGCTTCAGTTCAGTATGTGGTAGCAGCTGCTTGTCCATGGATGGGTGCTTGGCTTTGTTTAATGATGCAGCCTTCTCATTTACCGATTGATTTAAATATGTTGCTGGAAGTAAAAACTAGAGCAAAGGTGAGTAGAGAGAGACAATGTACTTGTATATTCATTTCATAATTATTAATACAGGAGGGAGGTACATGGGGTATGGGCACAGGGTAGTTTGGTGGAGGATGAAAAGTATATATAAAATAAAAATTCTTTCCAATGGCAAAAAAATGATTTAATATTCGAGGTCTTGGCAAGAGCAATCAGAAAAGAAAGTGATTAAGTTAATGCGTTTTTTAATTGTTGAAAATTTCTATGAGTAAACAGCAATACATGCTACACCTTTCTTTGTTTCTCTCACTGAGAAAATTAATGTTTTTAGTCAGAAGTATTGGAGGGTTATAGTCTACTATACCATATATATTATTTTCCATAATGATTTTGTTATACTACATTTTGTTTAGTTTTGAGATCAAACGTAAAGTATTATTACATTCTTTAAAAAAAAATACAATAACCATGTAAGAAGTCTGTTGCTTTTTACAAATGTGACTGCATTAATTTTACATGGGAATTTCTTTTTAAAAATTAGGATCTTGACAAAAATACACCATTATTTTTATCCTTAAAATATTGGGAAAAGAGAGTGTGCTTTGGTCATGGGAGAGCTGTGGTGACCAAACGTTGAGGGGAGAAATCAAACACTGTCAAAAAATTAAAGGTTTAAGAAAATGGTACTTATTAAAAAAAAAACCTGGGATGTCTACCTCCTCTCCTCAATATTTTTGTGCAAAAAGAACAGTATTTTAATGGAATATAACAAATGAGAATATTTTCGATGTTGCCTATTAACTTTTTTTTTTTTTGCCTATTAACTTTTAATGATTAATCTTTAATTATTGGTTTTTCCTCCTCCTTCCCTCTAGGAAAAAACAGGTGGTAAGGTGCGCCAAGGCCAAAGCCAGAGTAAAGAAGTACTTCAGGAGTATATTGCAGGTGCAGACACCATCATGGAAGACCCTGCTACCAGAGATTTTGTGGTTATGAGAGCCAGAATTATGGCCGCCAAGTGAGTATACATAATTTTAAAAGTCATTTAATCAAAAGATTCCCTTGTTTTGTCTGTCAGTGTTTCCTTTATCATATTAGTTATAGAATAAGGAAATTCAAGCATAAGAAAAGCACTTTAATTTTGGGGGGAAGCTTTAAAGCATGAAAAGTAAGTTATAGTTTCAATAGGAGAAACTCGAAGTAATTTCTGTAGTTACTTCTCTTTTCTCCCTCTTAGGTTGTTAGGAGCACTTTGTTGCTGTATTTGTGATCCAGGTGTAAATGTGGTAACCCAAGAAATTAAACCAGCTGAATCCCTTGGCCAATTACTGCTCTTCCATTTGAACTCCAAATCTGCCTTACAGAGAATTAGTGTTACTTTGGTAATCTGTGAATGGGCTGCTCTACAAAAGGTAAGATTTTGCCCAAAAAAATAACAAAGACAAATTAAACTAATTTTTATTAGCTGTCAGGATTATTTTTATTATAATTGACAAACAGAAAAGTGAACCTTTATTCTGTGTAAAAAACCGAACAGTTATAGAAAGGTATTACGTAATGTATTGAAAGATTGTTTCTCTTCTATTGGCCTTAGATTTTCTTAGCAACTCCATTCTTGAACCTGAGACTGAGACTTCTAGCTATTTCTGTACTTAGTATTTGCTCTTGCTCCTGCAATTTACTAACAAATGTCCCTGTTAAAAAACATTTAAATAGAAGCAGTTCAGAAACTGTTGGTCATTCATTCCTCTGTACCTGTCACTAGAAACTATAACAATTAAGAGGCTTTGAGTATTATTAGAGATCTGTCTGTGTGAGTGGTAGCAAGGGCAGAACTTTTGGTCACAGGAAGAATAAAATTTCCATATTTAAACCAGCTCTTCATGTTTCCAAATAAGCCATACCCTTGCAGCCTTTTTAATCTTTAATTTCTAGTAAGATATATAATTTTGTATAAGACTTGCTTCTGTAAATCAAAGAAACTTCCTGCTGGCTTTGTTTATTCCATTGACTGGAATTCTGGAAATTTAACTGTCTGCACTTGCTGTGAGAGTTGTTACTGCCTCTTAGCAGTTTGTCAAAACTGTGTCTAAAAGTAATTGAGCCATGCTCTGTTGCAACTAAGACCCCCCCCACCTTTGCCTCTGAAAAGAAGCAAGGCTCATCTGTTTTTAGGCAGGACTCGGTGTGCTGGAGAGGCAGTGATGATGTGTTTTTGTGCCTCTCAGACTCAGCAGCAAGTGTTGACAGTTCGGTTTCTGGACCCTCACAGAGCTTCTCTGGACTTACTCTGTGAAGCCCAGGCTGATCACCCAGATCCCACAGAACCCCTCATGGCTCACCACTGAGGCCATTCCCCCTCTGGTTGGGGCAGGCAACAACCAGAGAGAGTGGGAAGGGTTAGTTAAATTTGGGGGCAGGTAAGTAGCTTTTAAATTATATATCCATTTCTACAATATGGCATGTGAAAGCTGTGGGCTCAATTGTTAAGAAATCTAATGAGTTTTTAATAACATTTATAGTGCATGCTAAGTGTTCTTTTCTGACTGATTTCTTTTTACAGTTACACATTTAAAAAAAATATATATATATATATAAAACATGGAATAAATTCAGAGTAAAGTAAAAGTACTTAGGTGGACAATTTAATGGAATGTAATAGTTCCATGTGCATGTTCTGTAGTCATTCATATTAAAATTTTAGAGTAGTTTGAGTGTGATATCTTTTCTCTGTGCAACTAACTATGTTGTTTGGATATAACAACATAGATTCAAAATCAGTAGGAATTTAACTTGGTAGTTTGCAAGTAAAGATTTATGCATTTCTCAACTTATGTTTTTATATTGTCTCTGAATATTTGTTGTCTTATGTTTTAGGAGTGTAAAACTGTTACCCTAGCTGTGCAGCCACGTTTACTTGATATCCTTTCAGAACATTTATATTATGATGAAATTGCCGTTCCATTCACACGAATGCAGAATGAATGTAAACAGCTTATTTCATCATTAGCTGATGCACATGTTGAAGTTGGTAACAGAGTAAAAAACAACGTTTTTACGATAGATCAAGCTAATGACCTGGTAAGTAAAGAATTTTAAATAGAACATGAAATAAAGATAAGAAATTTGTCAGTGTTGTGTTTACCACACAAACAGTAAATTTTTTGAAACTAGCTTGGTAGCCTGTGATCCTTACCCTTTAGAAAGATTATTTTACTGACTTTTCTTGAAGTAGCATGAAGAAGCATTAGTTTTATTTTTTGTTTTTTAATTTTGGGTTCTGACAAACCAATTGCACCTTTGTTAGATTCCTCCTGCCCTTTTTTAAATTTGTCTTATGACTGGCAATATATAGGACAAATTGCTTCTATAAGTTTCTGAGAATTTTTCTCTCCTCTCCCAACTTATAATAGTCAAATATAGGGAAAAGGTACAAGGATTAAATATTGAACACTCAGTATATCTACCAGCTAGAACCCACAGTGAACATTTGACTAAATTTGCTTTATCATATCTTTATGTCTACGTCTCTATCAGTCATCAGTTCATTTTAATTTTTTTTTAAAACTGGCTAATAATGATTTGTATTTGTTTATTATACTATTTTGGGTTCTACAAAACTCAAGATTTTGTCTTTTTTGGTTTGCATATTTAAAAAAATTTAAATATACTAGTTTATTTTTACATCATTTTGTGCCTTTTTCCATCTCAGTTGTAATCCCCTTGGGCTTCTCATCACCGAATCACCCGTGTGCCATCACCATAGCCATCTTAATTTAAAAAAAAGATTTATTATGCATATAAGACAGGGGCATAAGCCAGAGGTGGATAGGGGGTGAGAGCAGAACAGACAGATCGACTTATACGTTGCTGAGGGAAATAGTGGGTGAGACAGGAGAGGTCGGCTGCGCTATGTGGTCACCTCCTTGGCTGGAGATCTAACTTGTGCTGCAGTAGCTAATGGTAGTTTGATAGTACTGTGTCTTTAATCCCTGCACTGCGAGTAATGCCCCATCTTATTGAGTGCATTTAAAAGTTGCAAATATCAGTGTATTTCACTATGTATATATCATTAGTTCAAACTCAGTACTTTGTTGTTTTTGCTTTTTGAAAATAAAATTTATATTTATATATTTATGTACTATGAAATCTCATGTCATATAACATAGCTATAATTTTTATATATGGTAATATATATCACTAATATACGATTTTGAGGCACATTTTCACATTTCTTTTTGTGTACTTCATGCTTCACTCATACTCCACTGAAGCTCCAGGAAGTGCACAAATCTTAAATGGACCATTTGATGAAACCTAAGCCCTTATCAAGATACAGACAGTGGCATTACCACTTGCCTGTCAGTCCCTGCCTTTCCCTACCCTTTTCTAATGTTTCCTTTATATAGATTACTTTTACCTGTTTTAGAGCTTTATATAAATGGAATGATATACTGTGTGATTTTTGGTGTAAAATTTTTTCCAGCATTTTTTTGAAATTCATTTCTGCTGTCATAGCTATCAATATATATTTTATTGTTGAATTTTAGTCCTTTGATAAATAAATAAATCACAATTAGTTTAAGCTTTTCTTTATTTGATGAACACTTGGGCTATTCCTAGTTATTGGCTACTATAAACAAAAGTACACTACACATTTTTGTACAAGTTCTTTTTTTTTAAAGATTTATTTATTTATGTATAGAACTGGGGTACAGGCCAGAGGTGCAGGGTTGGTAAGAGGATTCACCAGAGGCAGAGTGAGGAGCAGAACAGGCAGGTCAATGAAGTACACTGCTGAGGGTAGCAGCAAGCAAGACAAGAGAGGTCTGCTGCGCCATGTGGTCACCTCCAGGGCTGGGAATCAAACTTGTACTGAAGTGGCTGTGGCTAGCTTGCAATGCTGCATCCTAACCCTTTGCACCACCAGGGAGGGCCCCATTTTTATACAAGTTCTTAAAAGCATTTATTTTCATTTATTTTGAGTAACTACAAAGGAGTGAAATTGTTGGTTTGTAGGGTAGGTATTTAGTTTTATATAAAGTTGCAGAACTTTTATCAGTTGCCTAACTCTGAATATAATAAAAACCTTGAGTTGTATACCTTAAGTAAAAATAGATACAGTATATTGGTTGTATCTCAGTAAAGTTGTTTTTAAAAGTATATTAAACAGTCTCAATGATACAATAGTTTTACAGCTTTAGGCAGCTTTTGGCAATTAAAGAATTAGTCACGTGCACCATTTTTTTCGCAATTGTTTTCTACCACCCCTAAATTACCTACACATTTTACCTTACGTAAGAAATCAAGGAAAGAATAAAAGTAATCCAGTTATCAACACTTAGCCACTTAACAACAGCTACCCTATACATTTTTGAATTAATGTTATTCCCTAAAGGAAGTTCACAAATTTGGCATTACTTAAGAGTTTTTATATTTGCTGGTAGCTTCTCATTTCACGAAAGTATTGTGCAGGTGTTGAGGTTGGCTTTTTCTCAAATGTGTTAGAATATTTAAAGAATGCTTAGTTTTATTGTCAAAATGTCTGTCTTAAAAAATATAATGCTAGTATTAAATAATGTCAGATTAAAATAAAGTTTAGTTGGGAGATTTAAGACATTCAGTTTTCTAAATATTAAACAGTATTAGATACTGTGAACTTAAAATTAAAACGACAAACTAACTGTCCTTTAAGAGATTACAGACTACTTGGGGTTGATGTGATTAAGGATTTTTTTAAAAAGATTTATGTAAACAGAACTGGAGTATAGGCCAGAGATCCAAGGGTGGTGAGAGGATACACAAGAGACAGAGTGGGGAGAACAGGCATACTGACAAAGTAAACTGCTGAGAGGAGCAGCAGACGGGTCAGTAGATGCCAGCTGTGCCATACGGTTACCTCTCTGGCAGGGACGGTACTCGTGCTGAAGTGTCTTTGGCTAGCTTCATAGTGCTGTGCTTTAAACTTTTGCGCCACCAGGGAGGGCCCTGATGTGATTAATGATTTTTAATTTTTCTTTTTTAATAGGTCACTACTGTTTTTAATGAAGTCACATCATCTTTTGATTTAAATCCTCAAGTGTTACAGCAATTAGATGGTAAACGGCAACAGGTCCAAATGACAGTTACAGAGACCAACCAGGAGTGGCAAGTGTTGCAGTTGAGAGTGCATACTTTTGCTGCATGTGCAGTTGTGAGCTTACAACAACTTCCGGAGAAATTAAATCCTATCATAAAACCATTAATGGAGACAATTAAAAAAGAAGAGAATACACTGGTGCAAAACTATGCAGCTCAGTGCATAGCGAAACTACTTCAACAGTGCACAACAAGGACACCTTGTCCCAATTCAAAAATTATTAAAAATCTCTGTAGCTCACTTTGTGTGGACCCTTATCTAACTCCTTGTGTCACATGTCCAGTACCAACACAAAGTGGCCAGGAAAACTCTAAAGGTATATATCCAAATCTTCATTTGAAGTAGAGGAAACCTCTTAAATTCATTTAAAATCTGTGAGTCAGGTATTAACTCTTACCTTCCCTTCAAGACCATTATAGCTATGGTCTAGAAAATTTATATCAAATGTTATTGAATGGAAATTCTTCCTGTGAAACTAGTTTCTTAAATTTAGTGCATGTCATTAGATAAATGAACTCTGTTACCTTTACCAAACAATTTGTAACCATTTTTTTTTATTGAGAGAATTTATGTGGAAAATAAGAATTGCTTTTTGTCTCAAGGATCAGTTTTTCTTCACGTGCTTTAATCCTATGATTTTTTTTTTGTTGTTAGATTTTGGAAAGGCAGATTATTCAAAATGTAAATAAGTTTACAATTTTGGTACAATATAAAGAAAATGTGAGTGAAGAAGTGAGACATTGTGCATATCAACATCTTAAAAATGTAATAGGGTGATTCCCCACCCCTACTACCATAATGCTAGGTGAAGCTGCAGTATTTTGCAGTGGTCATTGTTTCTAAATTCATGATAATTGTGAACATTTATTTTTTGAAAAGAGAACCTATGTTCTACAATATTTCTTTTTATACCTGGACATTTATTTATTAAAAATATTAATGTACTTCAAAAGGCACAGTTATTTTTGCCTGTGATTTTTTTCCTGTTAATATAATTCTACATTTTTATTGTATTAAAGATCATTTTATACAACTTACAAATTTAATGTTATAATTTATCAAATATTTTGGTAACATTCCATTACCTAAAGAAAATGTCATTTGCCTGTAAAAATTGAGGCTTAAAGAACAGTTTTAAAATATGTTGCATCACATTTAAAACAGGAAGATTTGGTCATCTACATTATGCTTAAAAGTTATTTTTTCCTTTTTAGGATCCAACTCTGAAAAAGATGGAATGCACCATACTGTCACCAAACACAGAGGTATAATTACACTCTATAGGCATCAGAAAGCTGCTTTTGCTATAACAAGTAGGCGAGGTCCTACTCCTAAAGCAGTAAAAGCTCAAATAGCAGATCTTCCTGCAGGAAGTAGTGGAAATATCCTTGTTGAACTTGATGAGGTAAAAAAATTTTTAAATTTGTATACTATGATTTGTAAACTCATAGAGACTGGGAATTAAGTTGTCTTACCAGCTTCTCAGACTGTATTTTTACATTTTTTAAGTGAAAGAACTGGGATTTGATAATAGCAGCCTTTTGGGTTACTATAGCTACATAATCCCGAAAAATTGCATAAATTTGTAACACCTGTTAAAACTTTTACCCACTTTTTATTATCTCCCTATGCAGGAAATCCTCTTGATAGTAGGAACCTAAGTTATTCATAAATATAAACTGATTCATTCCCATAGCAGTAACTGCAGAGATGTTAAATAACAGTGAAAGTTAAGTTTTTCAAATACTGTTAATATCAGGAATTCCTTTTGCTCCTCAGAGATTGTTTGTAAGTGTGAAATAATTGTTGCTCATAGCTTCAAGTTAACTTTTTAAATGTATGTGATGTGAGGTAGGGATCTAAATTTATTTCCTAATATTATATGACCAGTTTTCCCACTATTAAATTCTTCCTTTCCTTATAATGGTGTCTTTCTGTTTCATATATGTGAGGACTTATTGGGCTTTTTTTGGTTCTATTTTAATTTGTTCCACAGTATAATCCTTTTTAAAAATGATAAAAAGTGGTTTTTAAAAATTTTACAACCACATTATTACAATGAAATGGATGTTTTAGGTAGCTTTTTTGACTGCAAGGCATAGAAACCAGAGATCATCAATAAATTATGAATCCTAACAGACATATGTTTAATGCATTCCTGTAAAATACTCTGACTTTCTCACTAAAGATTTTTTCTTTTTTCAAAAGATTTATTTACTTACATATATAAGATCTGTATCTGGGCCAGAGGGCCAGGGTGGGGTGGGGGGTCATGAGAGGATTCACCATAGACAGAGTGGGGAGAAGAATAGGCATATCTACTGAAATACACGGCTGAGGGGAGCAGCAGGTGAGACATGAGAGGTCCTTCTGCTGCATCTGTGGGTGAGTTCCCTGGCCAGGGATCAACTCATGCACAGTTGCTGGCAATAGCTTGATAGTGCTAAGACTTTAACCCTTGCACAACCAGGGAGACCCCAATTTACATTATTTTAATGAGATCTGTGATTTTAATATTTATACCTCTGTTTTGGATAGTCTTATAAATTTACACATGTTATTTTATGTAAAGATATAGTCTGGGGTCTAAATGCCCATGTAAGCTTAATTTAAAAAAAAAAATAAAATTTCAAAAGCATAATACTTTCTCTGAAATTCTGACATTTTAGGCCCAGAAACCTTATCTGGTGCAACGGAGAGGAGCTGAATTTGCCTTGACAACTATAGTGAAACATTTTGGTGGTGAAATGGCAGTGAAGTTGCCACATCTCTGGGATGCTATGGTTGGTCCATTGAGGAATACAATTGACATAAATAATTTTGGTGTGTATATATTTTTTAAAATTGCTTTTTTCCCCCCTCCTTTTCTTCTGATTTGGGTTTTTAACAATTTCAATATTATGTCCATTACAGGTGTCTTATAAAGCTGATAAACTTTTTAAAAGTGCAAGATTGGTTAAAAACATTTTTCATATCATTTTGAATATTTCTCACTATTTTCCCTATATTTAGAAAGAGACTTGAACTGGATTATTATGTTAAACATCTCTAGATGCTTTAAGTACATTACTATAGCATTTAAGGGAATGCATAGCAGTTAATTTTATATATAGTAAAATAAATTCTCTCTTGGTGGCTGGGGAGGTATGCTAAAAATTTTGTGGATTTAAGATCTTGGTAACTGTTTGTAAGGTGAAATGCACTTAAGCCAATGTATTTTGATAGATGGAAAGTCCCTCCTTGAAAAGGGAGATGGTCCTGCCCAAGAATTGGTGAATTCTCTGCAAGTTTTTGAAATAGCAGCAGCCTCAATGGATTCTGAACTTCATCCCTCGGTAATTAACTCATGCAAGTTTAGTTTAGTTTTCAGTAAGTGGTCTTACTACTAAAATGTTTTAAGGCTAGGAAAATGTAACTTTAATGTCATCTGTAATAATTCCAGTTTTCTTTACACAGTGTAAATAATTTATATAGTGTACATATAGTGTAAATAGCAAAAAGCCACAGACCTATTCATCTTTACCATCTTAATGTAGCTCCTAAAAAAGGAAGAGCACAGGTAATATAACCTCTTTCTAGCTTAAGTCTAAAGGTGGAAGGAAATGATCTACCTAAGATGAAACTGGACATTGGCAAAGATAGAATTTTGCTTTGTGTTTTTGACTATTAAAATATTCCTTACAAAAATTTGAAACAGAAGAAAGTAGATAGACTAGAAAATTAGTTATCTAGCTTTTCCATAAAATAAATTATTATTCTTTCGCTTTAATGGCAATGGGGAGTTCTCTGATTTAGTGCTTTATGAAGTAATATAGCTCTGATTCTATAACTTTTCCTGTTTATGTAGTAATAAAGTGTGTCCTTTTGTTAAATTTTGCTGATTTATCATTAGCAAAGAAAAAAATCCACCCATAAGTTTTTATCCTCTGTGGTCAAAGTTGAAGCTGTAAGGCTAGCTTGTTGAGTAGGTAGCTGGCTCTTATCAACCTTAATCCTGGCATGCCATCCAGCAGACATTTAATAGTGGCATATGTGCTGTCTGTGATCATAATGCCTCTGGTACATTTACCAAAGTATGGTATCTGAAACAAAATCAGGAACATTCAACTCGTGAATAAAATGTATGTGCCTAAAATGCTTCCAAACTTGAAGGGGGCTGATGATGTATGGTGCTGTTTCCTGACTTCTGTAGAAGACTCTTGTAAGTGTCATTTGATGTGCTCCATATTAATTTGGAAAGAATTGAGTGTTCCTAATGCCTGGGAGAGGTTCTGTACCTCTATTTTCTGTCTGAAAGAATTGTAATACCTTAATTTGGATTTAGATTGATTTTTATTGAGAATGTTTGATTATGTCTTGAGGTAATTGGAGTGATTTTGAATTTACTTTGAAAAATGAGAACCTCTAAGTATGGGCTATTGTAGTTACATTTTTAACATCTCATTTCCCTAATTAGTATTTTAATTGTCTGCATTTTATTTTTTATTTTTTTAGTTGGTACAGCATTTGCCTCATCTTTATATGTGCCTTCAGTACCCCAGCACTGCAGTGAGGCACATGGCTGCTCGTTGTGTAGGCGTTATGAGCAAAATAGCTACTATGGAAACAATGAACATTTTTTTGGAGAAGGTTCTTCCATGGCTGGGAGCAATTGATGACAATATCAAACAAGAGGGTGCAATTGAAGCACTTGCCTGTATCCTTTTTTTATTTTGACTGTTAAGATATTATATTATTTTTTATTTAAGGATGTCTAAAATAAAATCCATTTATTCAAGTAGGCATATAACCTGCCTTGTCCCAAAAAGAAAACTACTCTGTACATTTTATTTTGAAGTTTTTTTTACACGACATTAAAAATACATAGGTGTTTATATTTCACTAAAACTTTCACAGGAAATTTAAAGATTTTTACATTAGAAGCAATTATATATGTGTTTATATTTCATTAAAATTTCACAAAAAGTTTAAAGAATTGCTATTTTAAGAGTTTTTTTTCATAATGTAAAAGTGATTCTGTGTACTTAGTAACATTTAGTTTATGTTCATTTTTTGAATCAGGTGCTATGTATATAATCCCTATAAATATATTTCCAAAATTCATTGGTGAAAGTTAATTGCACTAAGCAAGTAATACTCAGGCAAGCTCTTTGCTAAGAGTAGGCACCACTGATGTTCTTTTTAGCTGAAAATTAGTCCACAGAACAAGAAAGATAGATGGAGATATATCAGTAGAAACTCTGGTTCAGAAATACTGAAGATTTTGGAGGACTGAACTTACTGGGTCTGTGGTGTCTTAATTTCTGATAGTCAAGATCCTGGTGGGATCTTTGTTAATCTTTGAGTAACACTGACTTGTGTTCTCTTGCTCTTACGGTAACTCACTTTATTTTGGTATTACAGCCCTAGAAATTTGTAGGAATTTCTCTATAAAAAAATATTATTAGTTGGGCTCTGTTTGGGACGGGGGTGGTAGAACTTTTAATAACTGTGCACCAAGCTCTTCATCAGGTAACTCCTTATAGAACTGGAAGAGTATTGCAGTTTCTGTATATGGATGTTTTTAGATTATGATATGAAAAATACTGATGTTTCCCTTTTTAAATTGGACATCTTTGTTTAGATTAAAAATTTTAAATATGAAAATAATTTATTTTTTGAATAATGTTTTCCTGAGATGAAAATGTTACTTTATGTTCTTAATCAGTAGAAAATTACATGATGTTTATAAAGGAGAAACAGTGTGCACATGCTGTTTTAATTGATTTGTTGATATACTTTGAGGGGCTTCACTCTTAAAATAGAGATGAAAAGATGAGAAACTGTTAACAATCTTGGAACAATCTTGGTTTATCTCTTTGCAAATGCGTCTATCTCGAAACCATTTGGAAATTTCCTTAATAACTGACTTAGGTGTAATGGAACAACTGGATGTTGGTATTGTCCCATACATTGTCCTTTTAGTTGTGCCTGTGTTGGGAAGAATGAGTGATCAAACGGACAGTGTCAGATTTATGGCAACACAGTGCTTTGCAACATTAATTAGACTCATGCCACTTGAGGTAAGTTGAAAATACTTGGTTTATATATATATATATATATATATATATATATATACACACACACACTTGGTTTTCTACAACCATGTCCATGATAATTGTAACCTTTTTTAAAGAACATGTCAGTTGGACAAAAAGAAAGGACAATTTTTTTTTTGAATATATTTGCTTTATAAGCACTAAGAATTTTATAATTAATGGATACTTTTTAAAGAAATCCAGTGATATTTCATTGAAGCTATCCAGAAAGAATTGCTCCTAAGTATCCCTGATGATCTAAGTAATCCCAGAATCCAGGTAAAGATACTGTGCTAAAGTTTCCATGAAAAGTAAATTTGAGAGTAGTAAGTAATTAAAAATGTAAAAAGCTGTGAATTCTATGTGAAAGTATTAAGAAAGCAGACTACCAGACTAAAGTTGGAGGATTTTGGAGTAAATTTGTGGGAGAGAAATAGTATGTGTATTCAATGAATAGATAGAACTAGCCTGAAATAAGGGAAGAACCTGAATCCCTCTACCAACTGCTTAAAATATTTTGATGGGTTTTCTGTAGCTTAGAAAATAAGTGTAAGTGTACTTCACCCATGCTGTTGTGTGTTCCCCTCTGTCTGAGGGGAAGAACACACTACATTTTATTTATCTGTTTACAAATTGATGGACATTTATTTAAATTGTTACCAGCTTTTGGCTATTAAAAGTAATGGTACTGTGATCGGGCACTTATAAGTCTTTATGTGGGCATATGCTTTATTTCATTTGAGCAGGTTATCTAAGAATGGAATTACTGAATCAAATGATACTGACCTTTTAAGTAACTGTCAGTTTGTTTTCCAAAGTAACTATCAAAGTATGAACATAATACTTTGAAAGCTCTTGAAAAAAAGTTTGACATGATTGGTAAAGTTGAAGATTGCTCTAGAGAAATTCATACATATATACCAAGACACACATTCATTTTAAAAAATATTTATTTATGTATGCATACAAGAACTGAGGAGGTGCAGGCCAGAGGTGGGGTGGAAAATTGGGGAGCAGAGCACTCAGATCTGCTGAAATACATTGCTGAGGGGAGCACTGGGTACTGCAGGACAAGTCTGCTGTGCCATGTGGGTCACATCTTTCTGGCTGGGGATTGAACTTACGTTGCAGTGGCTGTAGATAGCTACATGGTGTTCACCTTAACCCGTTTGTGCCATTAGGAAGGCCCCACTAAGACACATTTTCAAGATTATTTATTAGTGTTATTTATAGAAATCTAAAGTCACTCAAGTGTTCATCACCAGAGGATGGATATGCTAACTGTGGATTATGACGCAGCAATATAAATGAACGACCTACAGACTCACAATATTAATGTATGTTTAACATAAGATTCTGTTTTTATCAAGGTCAGAAATAGGCAGAAGTATATGGATGCATACATAGGTAATATATAAAAAAGGAAAAATAGCTATGTAAATTGGTGAAGCTAATTTAGTAGAGTGGTGTCTGTTGGGGAAAACGATATGGCTTATCACTGAGAAAGAAGCATATAGGATCTTCTAGGGTAGTAACAGGGCTAGTGTTCTTGGCCTGGCAATGGCTATAAAGGTATTTGGCTTATAACAATAAAATGTCCACTTGTTTAAATATTTCTCTGTGTGAATATTATACACACTATATATGACCACCATGACTCCACCCACAAAAATATAGACTACTGTATTAACCAAAGGGTCATTTCCTGAGTTGTTTCTATTCTTTGCTTCCTAAGTTTATTCATAGCTTTTAACTCTTGGGCTGTATATCTTTCTATCTATACATTGAACTGACAATACTAACACCTTTATGCCCTTCTGGGCTTTGAAATCAGTGAATGATAGAAAACCACGTCTTGAACTAGGGAGCAGATGGCGAAAGCATTGTTTTAGGAAAATGGTCTAATAGTTGGAAGTAGGACCTTAGAAAAATCAGTATAATAACTATTTGAATGTTGATTAGAATGGAAATGCCCCCAAACAGAGCCAAGAGCCACGGTAAACTGAGGGGGGGGGGGGTCTAAACCACTATTTGTTTTTTTTTTTTTTTTTTTTAAAAAGGAAGAGTAGTAGTTTGTGATAACAGAATGGTAAATAAATGATACTTTGAATCTTAGAGATTTAAGTTTGGAAAGTTTCCCTTTAACAAATAAAAAAATTACAAGACTGCAATCTAATTTGCCTATAGTCATGATAGAAAAACAAGGGACCAGATTATCTTCTCATCTTAACTGGACAACTACACAGAATGAATCAAATCAGATATTGAACAGGCAGCACAGACTAGTGATACACAGCCTAAAGAAAGGAAATAAATGAAGTATTCTTATTTTGTGTTTGTTGGGTGTGAGTTCCAGACCATAGGACAGGGACAGGAAACCATAGCAGAACCAATGCAAATTGAAGAGTCAAAGTTTCTAGTTCAAGGAAGAGAAAATGGCTAGATTTTCACAGTAGAATACCTGGAATAGCTGCATATAATGGAAACAGAGGTCTAAACAGTGCTAAGTATTCTTAACTTCATAGGTTAGTAACTCTCAAATTTCTGGTTTTCAGACCTTTTTATACACTTAAAAGAAAAAAATTCCAAAGAGCTTTTATGTTTTCTATAATAGAAATTAAAACCAAGAGAATGTAAAAGTGTTAACTCATTTACATAACAGAACCACTAGATTTTAAAATAAATGCCAGTGAAAAATAACTTTCTACAACAAAAATAGTGAGAAGAGTGACAGTGACATTTTTGCATATTTCTTTTATGACTTAGTAGCTAGCTGGTAATATATTACTGTTATATTAATGCAAATGTCAGCACAGCAGAAAAAGTAAACAATGTCTTTTATTTAATAGCTTGCACCTCAAAGGTCCTTTGAAACATTTTGAGAATCTTGAGGAATCTACAGACCACATTTTGAGGATTAATATTCTAGAAAATAATAATACGAAAATTGAGAAACTCCAATAATAGCATTTTACTATCCAACTGTATTTGCTTCTTTACAAGTAAACATGGTGTGGGGCCCTCCCTGGTGGCACAGCTGGTTAAAGCACAGTACCGGGAAGCTAAAGCCACTTCAGCATGAGTTCGATTCCCGCCAGCTCCGGAGGTGATCCACATGGCACGGCAGACCTCTCCTGACCTGCCCACTGCTTCCCTCAGCAGTGTGCTTCATCCATCTGCCTATTCTGCTCCTCACTCTGTCTCTGGTGAATCCTCTCATCGCCAATGCACCTCTGGCCTGTAACCCCCAGTTCTATATGCATAAATAAATAAATCTTTAAAAAAAAAAATGGTGTGGGGAAACTTAGGTTGTAGTTAAGTTTCATTATAGTATTTTTAATACCTGTCAGATTCTTTAAACTACTAGCCTCCCAATATTTAAAACTATTATAATATTTATGAATATTTTAAGGAACTACAATATTTATATTTCGGTAAGATTTGAAATTGTTTCATAATATGGAAGTTACAAGTAAATAGTTTTAATACACTCTAAAAAATAATTTTAGGCAGGCATTCCAGATCCTCCAAATATGTCAGAAGAATTAATTCAATTGAAAGCCAAGGAACGCCACTTCTTGGAGCAATTATTAGATGGGAAAAAACTAGAAAATTACAAAATTCCAGTACCAATCAATGCTGAACTCAGAAAATATCAGCAGGTAAAGTTTTGTATTTATCTTGTAAATATAGTGACAATTCCTTTTAAATATCCCTTATTTCAGTTTTTTGTTTTGTGTCTTTTACTCATTTAACTCTTTTGCCCGTAAAAATACAGCTTTTTGTTCTGTCTGTCTGAACGTTTTAGAAGAAAAACTTTTTAATCTGTTCACATTTATGATTTTCTTTCAACCTTTCAGGATGGTGTGAATTGGTTAGCATTTCTTAATAAGTATAAGCTTCATGGAATTCTGTGTGATGATATGGGTTTAGGAAAAACTTTACAGTCCATCTGCATTCTAGCAGGAGATCATTGTCACAGGTAATTTTAGATGTTATTTTAAAAGAAGGAAGACATCCAGATGTTTAGAAAGCAAGCTGGCTAATTTATTGTTTGTTTGTTTGTTTATATTATGAAGGGCCCAGGAATATGCAAGATCAAAATTGGCAGAATGTATGCCACTTCCTTCATTGGTGGTTTGTCCACCAACATTAACTGGTCATTGGGTGGATGAAGTAGGTAAATTTTGTTCCAGAGAATATCTCAACCCCTTACACTATACTGGACCTCCTACTGAAAGAATAAGGTAAGAACTATACAACAAAAAAGTTTTAATCTTTCATTTTTTTTAATCTTTCATTTTAAGTAGTATGAAAAGAGTAAAAGGTATTAGAAATAAATTCTAGTTAAACCACTAAGACATAGACGCTTACCTTATTTAAGACAGGTGAGTACATTTACATAATCAGTGACGCTCATCAAAATTCATACTCTTTTGGCACTGTTACCAATTAGGCTTTCTAAGTATGGCATGTAGGAAGTTATCAGGAACCAAAGCCACTTTCTTGAGGAGCTTTGTGATCATCACTTCTCCTAAGTGCTTCTGTTACATTTTCATTCCTTACATACTTTCCCAACTTCCTCTTCCCTAAGTGCTTTGAATCCTCAGTGACTGCTGTGGCTACTCTGACACCATCAAACACTGGAGTTCTTGCAGCTTTACTTTGTCTTAACTAGTATATCTCTTTTGTACCTAAATATAAATTTTAAAGATTTGATTTCAATACATTTGGATAGTCAGAAACTACTAATCGGTCCACAGATTTGTTGTCTTTCTGTGTTACTAATAACTGACGTACATTGAATACTTACAGGCCAGGTATTATTCTAAGCAGTTTTACACTTATGTAAAATTGTGTATTGTATATTTGCAATTGCCTATCAAGGTATGGTTATTCTATTTCGTTTGCATATAAGAGTCCAGAAACATGGGGCCTAGATCCAAGGCCATCAATTAATTAGTCGGCTTAGTGAGGAACTGAACACAGATTATATAAAAGCTTACACTTGCATAATTTACTGTAGTTTGTTAGAATTCATTCATTCACAGATAAACCCAATTCAGAGTAGCTTAAGCAAACTTTAATTCGCTAAATTGATCATTTCACCAATGAGTTCTTGCTTCAAGCATATCTAGTTTGAGCTTCCTGCTCATATGCAACTTGTTCTCTTGGAATCTACTATACTTCAGTCTGTGGTTGGTGGACAAGATGACCATGATCCCCAGAAGGGAATGTTGACTTAGCACAGATTAAAAGAACCCTTATAAGGCAGTAGCTGTAGTTAAGCTTTGCAGATTCCCACTTCCCTAATCTTATTTATTTTAAAACACAGGTTACAGCATCAAGTAAAGAGACACAATCTGATAGTTGCTTCATATGATGTTGTGAGGAACGACATAGATTTCTTTAGGTGAGAATTAAAATTTTTTTCTTCAGAAAAAGTATTGAAGAGATTTAGTGTTCTCCTGCCTCAGAGATTCTTCAATAGCTCCTTACATTCTGTAGATGCTGATAAAATTTTCTATTTATTCTTCTCTAGAAATATTAAATTTAATTACTGTATTCTTGATGAAGGCCATGTCATCAAAAATGGAAAAACAAAATTGTCAAAAGCAGTAAAACAATTGACTGCTAATTATAGGATTATTCTTTCTGGAACACCAATCCAGGTAACTATTTACTATTTTTCCTTTTCAAAAAATAATTTTGCCATGTGGAAAGATTTGAAGGCTTTGCATTTGGCAGTGAATTAAAGAAGGGATTTTGTCTTTACACTTATAGGGGTGATAATTTCCCAGTAATTATTTTACTTGTAGAAATATAAATTTAGTATGCAACAATATCTGAGCAAAAAGCAAGTTTTAAGTCATATTGCAAGTATATTTTAGGCTGTTAGAAGTGAAATCTTCTATCCAACATAGGGGAGACATTAGTCAGGTTGTTGCACCCTAGCTGTTCTCCCTCTGTAGTAGTACAGCCCACTCTAACACTGCAAGAAAGCTACAGTTGATTAAAGGCAAGTCAAATAGTAGAGGTGTGGCTATCTGCGGTGAGGAAGCAATTGAAAGGAAAAGGAGATGGTGAGTATGTAGATGTCTTCAGATACTTTCCAGAGATTGTTATTTTTCAGAGGAATTGTTTTGCAAATATTCAGACCTAGCGTGGATATCCAACCTTTATAGGAAGAAAGCCTCTACCTCCACTTAATGGGTGGGGTGGGGGTAAATAGCAAGTGACCTATAAAATTTCTTATGAAAAAGAAAATTGATGGATTTTTATGAATATAAGAATGTATTTTTCATTTAAATTTAATTTTGCTGTAGAATGTTATATAATTACAAGTATTTCCAAATTTAATGGAAGCATTTAAAAGGGGAAAAATACTCTTTAGTTTTAGCAAGGTTTTTCTTTTTTTTTTGGCTTAGATTTAAACTTATACAGAAATTTCAGTGTTTTAAATAGGTCATTGCTTTCGCAACAGAAATTTTGGGATGGAGTTGTTCGTTTTGTTCTGAAAGGCCCTCTTTCCCTTCCCCACTTCACCATCAATTTACTGTGAAATTGTAAGGTAGATTTTTACATTGATGAACAAGGGGACAGAGCTTAAGTGGGAGTAGAAGGGTGTATCCATACTGAGAGTATAGCCCAGCATGGTGACCAGAACCTGAACAGGGTGTGGAAGGCTTCTGAAAGGGTGAAATAGGGACAGTGGCAACCTTAAGAGCCATACACTGGGCAAGTGTCCAGAGTGCTGATTTTTTTTCTCCTGAAACTTGAGCAGTAAAATTGTAAAGAAGCTACTATACCTATGCCTTGTGATCCAGGAATTCTTAGTGGACTTGAATTGTCACCAGATTCTTACAGGTTTTTCTTTGTTAAAGAAATGGTCTTATTGGCCATATTGGCCAAATTCCCTGAAATATGCTGTTAATTTAAATGTCATAGTCAGCTTTCTGCTCTTCTATTTAGTATTGGGTAGATGCTACCAGAGGGGTACAAATTCTAAGGATCAGGGTTATTCTAGCCAATGAAAGCTGAAGTGAAAC